CATAATCAATTCACAAAATACATCTCAAACAATATTGGATAAGATTTTTATCATATATGAGTAGGTTATGACTCAACATATGAATAAGAGGACCAATTAATAACTTTTAATAGTCGATGGACTTAACAAAATACCACCTTATAATTGAAGGGCTATTTATGTACTGTACCTATTTTTAGAATATCATATCGATGCATGTAATTTGAGATTTTTTAAAGCACAAGTATTAAAGTGTTTTGAAAATTTTTACAAGTATCAGACAGAGAAGATTACAAAAGTTCAAGGACCAAAAATATATTAAGCGAACTAGAAACTAAAAGTGACCGTTAATAATCTATTTGCGGCAGCAGGCACTTGCCGCCGAAACGTAACTTTACATACGGAATTTTATAAATAAATAAATCTCTCCCAAAACCAGTGACTCAGTCCTCATTCGCCATTGCTGAGTCTAAACTCGCAAATAAAAATTCCAAAAACCCAACCATTTTTTCCCGGCAAAAGAGAAGCAAACCGGAACAAAAAAAAAACCAATGGCTGAAACGCGGTTCACATCTCTCTTCTTCCTCTTCCTCTCCCTCTCCATACCCATCACCGTGATTCATTCGCAAGCCGTAAACGATGAACGGACCGTTCTTCTCAACGTTAAACAACAACTGGACAATCCACCGTCCATTGCTTCGTGGAACTCATCATCCTCGCCGTGCGATTGGCCGGAGATCTACTGCACCGCCGGCTCAGTAACCGAGCTTCACCTCCGTGAAAAAGACATTACGGAAAAGATCTCGCCGTCGATTTGTGACCTCAAAAACCTCACTTTCCTTGACCTCGCCTTGAACTTCATCCCTGGGGAATTCCCGATAACGCTTTACAATTGTTCAAAGCTTCAAGTTTTAGACCTTTCTCAAAACTTTTTGGTCGGTCAAGTTCCATCTGATATTGACCGATTATCGTCTTTGATTTCTCTTGATATAAGTGGCAATAATTTTTCCGGGAATATCCCATTTAGTATCGGAAAATTCCCAGTATTGCGAAGGCTATATATGCACCAAAACCTCTTCAACGGTACATTTCCAAAAGAAATTGGTAATTTGTCGAATCTTGAAGAACTGGGTATGGCGTATAATCCTTTCGTCCCCATGGGAATTCCTCGAGAGTTTGGGTTTTTGAAGAAATTGACGTATTTATGGATGAAGGAAACCAATTTGATCGGAGAAATCCCGGAAAGTTTCAACAATCTTTCGAGTTTACAGCATTTTGATTTGTCTATAAACAATTTGGAAGGTCCGATTCCAAGTGGTTTGTTTTCATCGGAGAATTTAACTCTTGTTTATCTCTACAAAAATCATCTTTCAAATGAAATACCCAAAGCTGTTAATGCTTTCAATTTGGTTGAAGTTGATCTTTCCCAGAATAATTTGACCGGTACAATTCCAGAAGGCTTCGGGAAATTACAGTCTTTGCGCTTTTTCAACTTGTTTTCGAATCAGTTAACGGGAGAGTTGCCGGCGGGGATTGGTTCACTGCCTGCGCTGAGAGATTTTAAGGTTTTTCAGAACAAGTTGACCGGAGTTTTGCCGCCGGAGTTCGGGGTTCATTCGAAGCTCGAAGCGTTCGAGGTGTCGGAGAATCAATTCAGCGGCGAATTGCCGGAAAATTTATGCGCCGGCGGTGTTTTACATGGACTGGTCGCTCATACAAACAATCTCGAAGGTGAAATTCCGAGATCGATCGGGGATTGTCGGAGTTTGGGCACTTTTCAACTTCAGAACAACAGGTTTTCCGGCGAGATTCCTTCGAGTTTATGGAGGAGCTTCAATTTGTCGACTTTGATCCTAAGCAACAACTCGTTTTCCGGAGAATTACCCAGCCGAGTTGCATGGAACATGTCGAGGGTCGAAATCAGTGACAACAAATTCTCCGGCGAAATCCCCGCCGGAATCTTTTCGTGGTCGAGTTTGGTCGTCTTTAAAGCCAGCAACAATTTGTTCCGCGGCCAAATCCCGAAGGAGATAACAAATCTTTCTAAACTCATCACTTTACTTCTTGACGGTAATGAACTATCCGGCGAACTTCCATCGGAAATCATCTCCTGGGAATCATTGAACACATTGAATGTCTCTTGGAACAAGCTCTCGGGTCAAATCCCGGCTGCAATCGGATCTTTACCTGATCTGATCAACTTGGATTTATCCGAAAACCGATTCACCGGAGAAATTCCTCCTGGCATCGGCAATTTGAGGCCAACTTCACTCAATTTATCATCAAATCAACTTTCTGGGAAAATCCCAGAACAGCTTGATAATCTTGCATATGAAAACTGCTTCTTAAACAATGCCGATCTATGCGCCGATGATCCGAAATTAAAGCTTCGAGATTGCAACGCCATCTCGAAGCACGATCGGCAGAAGAGATCGACAAATCGATATGTTGCAGTGATTGTAACACTTGCAGTTGTTGCTTCCTTGGTTGTGTTTCTAATGATTTTCTTCATTGTTAGAGACTATAAGAAGAAAAAGAGTTCACAATCTTTAGAGACATGGAAATTGACCTCGTTCCAGAGATTGAATTTCAGTGAATGGAACATATTGTCCAATTTGGTAGACGATAATCTCGTCGGAGTTGGAGGCTCGGGGAAAGTTTATCGGATCGAGATCGACCGTTCGGGCGAATCGGTTGCGGTGAAGAAAATCGGGAATCATAAGAAACTAGATCACAAGCTTGAGCAAGAGTTTTCGGCTGAAGTTGAAGTACTCGGAAGCATTCGCCATCGCAACATAGTGAAGCTATTGTGTTGTATATCGAGTGAGGATTCAAAGCTTTTGGTGTACGAGTATATGGAGAATCAGAGCCTCGATAAATGGCTTCATGGGAGCAAAGGGTCATTTTCGAGTAGCTGCTCCGTTCTGGATTGGCCGAAGAGGTTGAAAATCGCAGTCGGAGCTGCACAAGGATTGTGTTACATGCACCATGAATGTCCTACACCGATCATCCACCGTGATGTGAAGTCGAGTAACATTTTGTTGGACATCGAATTCAAGGCTAAGATTGCGGATTTCGGACTCGCAAGGATACTGGCCAGGCATGCAAGTTCTCACACAATGTCCACAGTTGCAGGATCTTTTGGTTACCTTGCCCCAGGTAAATCAAATGCTTTAAACCCTTTTTGAAAAACCGGAACATCTATTTTAACACTCAACTGTCATTTGTGTAAACAGAGAATGCCTATTCGACGAAAGTCGATACGAAGGTCGACATCTACAGCTTTGGAGTGGTGCTTCTCGAATTGGCGACCGGGAGAGAAGCGAACAGCGCAAACGAGAACATGGGCCTAGTGGAATGGGCCCGTCAACACTCGTCAAACAATCAATCCATCGTTGAAATACTCGATCCGGAAGTGAAGGAATCGTGTTGTTTGGAGGAAATGATAATGGTATACAAAGTAGGGATTGTTTGTACACGCCCGTCGCCTTCGACAAGGCCTTCGATGAAGGAAGTTTTGCATGTTCTCCAAAGCTGGTGTCCGAAGGATGGTCAGGAAGCCAAGAAAGTGGGAAGCGAATTCGACGTCTCGCCGCTTCTCGGTGGTTCCGGTGCGACATACTTTTCGAGCTACAGATTCGAGGAAGAAGATAACAAAGTTTACAACGTGTGATACACATAGCAGTGGTGTCTCCCATTGCTAAATGTACATGAGAAGCAACTGTCGGGTGTTATAGGCTAACCGAACATGTATCTAAGAAGTTCTAGAAAAATAATGGCTTTGGGTTTGCATGGTTTCTTCATTTGTAACATGGAAATTTGTCATATTTAATACTACATATTAAATCACAAGTTAATACCTCGTTAAAAAAATCTTAAAACATATATAAATTGTTGATGGGTCAACTAGATGTATGAAGCCTATTAGTATTCGACCATGGTTTATTAGGACTATAGATGAAACATATACCATCCATCCATATTATCTATGGAATTCTATTCCGAACTCCTATTTATGATTAGGATTTCCTTATTTCTATCTCATTTCGTATCTTATTTTAGTATATCGATTTTTTTTTACGACAACCTCTCCCCCTTTTTCCATCTATTTTTTTTTTTCATTTCATGAACGAATTATGCCTATTTTCACATCTAGGATTTAGATATACAACGTATATTACTATCAAGCTGTCAAGGGTGAATTTCTTATTTTGATTTATTATTGAGTTTATATTATATATAATTTATATTAGATGTTAGAATATTAATTCTATTATATATTTTTATATTCTAATATATATATTCTAATGTATCTTCTAATTTATTTATTATTTAGAATATAGAACAGATTGTAAGTGATTCCAATTTGATTTGATCAAAGATTGGTGAATATTTGATTCAAATGAACTTGAATTGAATTATTAATGAGCTGAAACAAATGGTTCACTCCCTTTGAAATGTGTGTGGTCGTTAGCTACCTCAGCCGAGGATACCGGCTCTCGAACCTTGGACCAGCAAGCCACTGCAAGAGCCAGTTCATATGGTTCACTCCCAATTTAGATAAAAGGAGACATTATTCTTCTCCTCTTTTGACGCAAATAGAAAAACATGGAATAATACCATAGGATATATTATTTTCTTTAAAGATTTTAAATTCGAACATTCAAGATTTGAAAAGCTAAGCTAAGTTTACAAAATATATGTGCTTTCACTTGTAACAAAATATAATCTACCTTCGCGCCTACGATAACACGCATGTCAATTGAATTAATACTAAAAAAAAAAAAAAAATTGTTAAGCATTAACATTATATAATAATAACGCGAGTACCATGTAAGTCTATGGCAACTATTTTCCAGAATAGACCATCCAGTACCCAATTGAAGGCATTCCAAATACGGGCGTTCCTAAGAGAGGTATTGTATATAGAGAAGATGACTATAAAGCATTGATGAACTGTATCATAAAGTTTACATAAAAAATACTATATAAAGATTAAAACAAAGACAAAATCCAAATGATACAGCAACACTCCAGTTTGATTTACAGTTTCTTGTTGTTGGAAGAGTTGTTCATTCTCGAATGGAACCGAGAAGCATCGACACTCGAGCATAAAAAAAAAAAATAGCAAAGTCTTCAAAGAACCACCACTCTAGTAAAGCTTCTTGGCTCCCTCCTAAGCTTAACAACCAAACGCCACAACCCAAAACTATCAGCTGAACAAAACAGCTCTCCGCCGCTGCACGGCCAAATATACTTTTGCTAGTCCAGTCACACTTGGTATTATACCTGTATAACCATAACGTAAACCCAGCTAATAATGTGACACTTACCGAGGTGTACTGGCCATATACTCCTTTGGTAACAAAGATTTCTCCAAAACCCGTCATCTACAACACATTATGCCGTTGACTTCAAACTCCACCTGCTATAAATAATGAAAAACAGAACAAGCATAAAGAAATTATAATTTGCATAAACAAAACAAAAGTTCCAAAATATGACATGCCTCATCACTGACTTCTGCAAAGTATCTGACCTAGCGCCATCTTGGGAATTTACAACCTTTTCGACTGATATACTCGGCTATACAACAACATCAAGGTTAAAAAAAAAACTAGTTAGGCAAATAGGTCCACAAAAGTTGATAAAAATGTAAGAAATAAGATGAGGTCAAGTATCCGAGCGTTAGACACAAAACAGAGTCAAGGTCTTAAGCACAGTTACTGGAAACATAGCACGTATGATGGTGGAGCAGGACCTGCCACCACATATGCACCAGTTAGGAGATTGGCTGAGAATTAACATTATAAAAGAACAGGGAAGGAAAAAAACTAGACAATTGCAATGATTACATCAAAATTGCTCAGATGTTTCCTTTAAAAAAGATCAATAAGATGCTCAAAATCATCCTTCCAAGATTATGTTCCCGCAACATTAAACATCACATCATGAACCTTTCTGTGCTCGGAGCCTCATTTCTTTAGAATAAAATATAAAAACTGGGATTGAAGGCCAAAATGACTCAAACAATACAGAATAAAAAAGGAACAAAGAAGCTATCCTCTATAGAAAGCAAAACAGCAAGAGAACTAGCTATAGAGTAGATGATAAAACTAGCATAAGTAATTCATGTCCAAGAGTTGGATTCAAAACCTTTAATTCCTCAGACAAGTTGCTTTGGAAAACGCCACTTGCATTCAGATGTCCATTTTCCAGCAGTGATTCCAAATCAGCACTGCATACGCTGCCCTGCAAAGATCCCCAACTCTTACAAACACTCAGATATTTCAGTATGCTCACAGCCCTCAGCTACAATCTTTAACCCAAATACCTCAAACAAAGAAACTCACCTTGCAATTGAGGTTCTGTATGTTGGGACTTGACCCAAATACACTTTCAGCAATTTCTACTGCTGCTGTTCGAGTACATGCTTTGACCACCTCTTGATCGACCTCAACAGCAACTCCTTTCCAGTTCAAGATTCTCCTAGAAGATCCAATTTCTGGATCATTGATAAAAGCTGATGCCAAATCTGCAGTTTTCTCTTGATTCAATCCAACCTTAGATGTTTCCCTTATTTCAGAATCATGGACTTCACATGAAGAAAGTAACTCCTGCCTAACTCGTACACTCATCTGTTCAGCTGATTCTACATTTCTAACTACCGATGAATTATCTACGGCTAAAGAAGTCTGCCCACCAGACATACTATCAACAGATTTGGTATCAACATCACCAGTTTTAGGATGCTCTAATTTAACTGCTTGAATATTATGAATATGAGAAGTTCCACCAGACTTGCTTGTAATAATATCGGGAGAAACCGACTTCATTCTCGGGGGGCTAATTGATGCTTGCTTCTCAGGCTTGTTCAATTTTTCATCAACTGTCTCATGATCACGTTTTCTCTTAATTTGTCTTTCCGCAGAGTCTGAGCAGGACCTTCTGACATCTTCAGAAGTCTTTCCAGTATGCTGACTTGGATGCCTCAATGATCGAGGCCGTCTATGTCCATCAGGGAAAACAAAAGCAGGGAGCTGCCTCCTACGAACATGAGAAACATAAATATCCATTCCTGGTTTCCAATACATGTACATGCTTATCTCTTGTCTGAACTCATCAACTGTTCCACGAATGTCAAATTGTTGACCTTCTAGACCACTCACTCCCTCTTTCCTCTGCAAGCCCATGAAGAAAGCACAATGTGGGAACTCCTTGGATGTATCAACATACTCATTTGGGTAAGGGTGACACTGCAGCATTCCATTTGTGTCTCGCTCTATCTGCAGCATGAAAAGGAAACAGCATCTTCAAAGTCATATTAATGGTTAAATAAAGCAAGCAGCTTAAAGCTCAATAGAGTACTCCCCAAATGGACAAGTTAATGTTTCACCTTCAAGGTAAGCAGTCTAAGTCGTGACTCCACCCAGCCCTTCCATGCCAACAAATCAACAACATCTGCAGAAACTATGTCAACTTGCAGATAGTTTTTGTACGCCTCAAAGAAAAGATGAAGGTCAAACAAAGCACTCCATTGAACTTTGTTTAGATCAATCTCCTACAGGAAGATAAATGACCAAGTCACCAATATATGTCATCAACAGTTCAAACTTCAACATGGGCAGCTAGAACTTAACAAAAGGGCCATGTGTTATCTCACCTCACATATTCTATTACCAAATTGGAACTGTTCCATCATAACACGAAGAGTGCTTGAAGATACATTGTAACTGGAATTCATGCAAGGGTATGCAGGAGTTATTATAGGCATTTGATGATAACGGTCCCGAGGATTCTTGCGAGGATCCCAGACGGGAAAGCCAAGTTCATTTTCTTCTATTGAACACAACATAACAGGGTTTGGCCACCTCCATTGAGTATATACTCTAAAAAACCGAGAAACCAGCATACTAGGTACTGCATTGGGATAAAGTTGACACACACGTGCAACAAGAAGTGCCCAATTCACACCTCCTAGGAATCCGGTAACCTATAAAGTCAAAACAGAAAAATAGGAACATAATTTTAAACCAAAGAAGACAATGAAGAAAAAAAATAACAAACTTACATTGGAATAAACTCCACGCCTCTTCGCCCAGAACTTCAAACATCTAAGTGTCACGCGGAAGTGCTAAAATTGGGTCATAGATTAGAAGACTACGAAATTAGAAAAATAATAAAACAAGTGGAGAATATAAAATATTCACCTCGACATTCGGAACAAGTTTAAGGATTTGATCAGCAACCCTGCACCCGTTAAGACTTCGAACAGTTTGCTCATCGACATTATGCAGCACAGATTCACGTGATATGTCAAGGTCCTGTTGATTAGTTTAAAACAAAATAGATATCAAAGTAGACAGCAACTAAGAATGCACTGAATTACTAGAGACATTATACATGTTTTACATTTTCATCATACATTTATTTACATATCATAGGAACCACATAATATATAGCAAATTTCACATAACGAAAATTCTACGTTGATTGGTTCCAACTCCTGGCAAAATTCAGTTTGAACAAACAAAATCATCCATATATGCTTTTTATTAAAGAAAAAACTGTGCCAGAATTTGATTTGCTTTATGAAACTATTTAGGAAAATACGAATTGGAAGGTCAGAGGTGAAAATGATTTTGACCATCAGTTAAGAAGAAGAATAAGATGCTTTAATCAAAAGAATACCGTATTTGAATACCACCACAATTAAAATAGGTTATTAATTATTAAAAAAAGGTTGCTATAAGATCTAGTTGACAACATATCAAAAAAACCAAGAAAATAATAAAAGGAAGAGGCAGAAACAGTTCTCTGGCACACTTAAAATAGGTTATTAATTATTAAAAAAAGGTGGCTGTAAGAAGTTGACTTGCTTTTCGAAACTATTTAGGAAAATACTAATTGAAAGGTCAGAGGTGAAAATGATTTTGATAATCTGTTAAGAAGAAGAATAAGATGTTTTAATCAAAAGAATACCGTATTTGAATACCACCATACTTAAAAAGGTTGCTATGCCTATAAGATCTAGCTGACTACATATATAAAAACCAAGAAAAAAAAGGAAAGGCAGAAACAGTTCTTTGGCATAGAATTGCTTGCAACATGCAGCACTATGTATATGTTATCATTCTTGACTTTCACTTGATTATAAGAGATGCAGTAGATTTGACTAGGGTTGATCCAAAAAAAAGAACCAACAGGATTGCACACTTACATCTGGAACAACCAAAAGAGATATACTTGCGTAAAGAAGATCAATAGATATCCCTTGGAACTTAAATTTCATTACTGGGACATGAGCATCTGGAACTGGTTGAAGTTCAGTGACTTCTTCCATCTCGGCCAAAATATCATGCAAAATGATGAAGAAATCTTCCTGGAAAAATTCAAATTCAACATAAATAAAACTCAAATTAAATGAATGCCAACTAATTTCAAGGTAAACAAAAGAATTAGTGGGATTAAAGAAACCTCTCGGTTCACATAAGATGGCCCAACACACAAAGTGTCTATGTCAGCCCCAGGTCCATGCACCTATCAAAATAGCAAGTGTTTGCTTATCATCTAAATATAAAAGATCTAAATGATTTGCGCAGAAGAAAAAACAAAAACAACAACCAAAACATAGTGAACATCAAAGGCAACTGGTACAAGCCCACCAAGAGAAGTAACTAATTATTCCCAAAAATAAAAAGCACAATGAAACCAATGTACCATTGATAAATTTTCAACAATAAAAATAACCCATTTCAAAATCTTGAAGTGAGAGAAGCTCCAGCTTCTCTCTAACCCAGGCGTTTTCAAATTTCAAATTTCCAAGGGAGAGAGAAAATATGGGTGTCGTTTATACAGCCCTCACTACCGTCATCCATCGTTAGTCTTCCACCTTCAGTCGCTTGTTGTCCGCCGTCCTCCGACCACCGTCCGCCGTCTTCCGACCACCGTCCACCACCGCACTCCTACCACCTTTTGACACCGTTTTTCTCAAGGATATTCGTCTACCCACAGCGTTTCCTTTTTCCTGGTTATTTTTGTTAGATTCCTTTTCAATCGGAGCAAATCTACTTGCCTTTCTTCGCCGTTCTTTTCCACCAGCAGTTTCCCGAGTTTCGTTTTAACCGTTCCACTGTACTCGCCGGAAGCTCGTGACAAAAACCCAAGTTCTCTACTGTGAATAATCTCTGCTGGTCAACGGATCTTCTTGAGAAAAACTTATTTTTCCAGATCGTAGTTACTGGCTCTGGATTTTCACATATGGAGGCATATCTTACCTAGCATTTTACTTCTCTGTTTTTTTCGTTCAAATCTGCATTCAAAATCCAGGACAGTTTGTCAAGTCTCTGGGTGTTTTATTTCAACAGTCAGTCATCATGCCAAGTGCTGGAATCCTACCTTCTCTCAAGATGAGACCTCCGGTTCAAGTTCCTTCACCCTCTGCAGCTGCACATTCTCTGTCATCTCACCCTTCTCATCATGATGAGGTTCGTATTATCTTCATTATGGGTTTGCCTGAAGATGTTAAAGCGAGAGAGTTGCAAAATTTTCTGAGATGGCTTCCAGGTTTTGAAGATTCACATTTGAGCTTCAAGGGAGATAAGCCCAAGGGTTTCGCACTCTTCTCAACTGTTAAATTTGCAGTTGCTGCCAAGGATGCCCTTCAGAAAATAGTTTTTGACGCTAAGTTGAAGTCCTTCTTGCACATCGAGATGGCAAGGAAGAATCTTGTTGTTAAAATAGTTACAGATTCTGATTTTGACAAGTATGGAGGTTTTCCTATTCCTTCAGTACCGCCATTGCCAATTCCAGCTTCTGTAGCATCTCCTAGTTTTCATGTGTCAGTTAAAGAAGTTTGCTGCGATGAAAAATCTGCAGTAAATGGTGTACACGAGGGATCCAGGGAGTCGATCACAAAGGGGTGCAGAGTTGACAAGTCTGGATGCTTCACGTTATTTGTTGAAAATTTACCAGAGAAGATTCATTGGGAGAGGTTTGGATCTCTTTTTTGCTCTCATGGTCGTGTACTTGATGCTTTTATTCCAAATAAAAGGAATTCAAAAGGAGTTCACTTTGGTTTTATTTGCTTCGCATCAATCGAAGAAGCAAGGAGAGCAATCTCAAAAATGAATGGCTCTCGTATCGACGGCAACAAAATTGGTGTTTCTTTCGCTAAATTCAAACCTCGACATTCCTATTGGAGAAAGTCCTCGACAGGTGTTCTTCGCAAGTCCGGGATGGAAGATGATTCGAGGATAAATCATTATAAAGTTGAAGGTGTTATAGATGAAGAAAAACTTCAGGTGTTGAGCAATTGTCTAGTGGGGTGGTGCAAGGACTTTGTCAAAATTGGTCATCTCGCTAGACAAATGCAAGCGAAGGGCCTCACTGGCTTCACCTTAATGAGAGCTGCTGGTAATGCGATTTTAATGATTTTCGAAGACAATGCTTCATTGAGAAGTGTAAAGAACGATAAATCAAAGATTCTCGCAGAGTGGTTCTCCTTAGTCGAAGCTTGGTTAGAGAGTTTGGTAATGGAGTGTCGTCGAGTATGGTTAGTTTGCGAGGGTGTTCCTTTTCACACATGGAATTGCAGTACTTTCAAGAACATTGCTGATAAGTGGGGTTTATTACTAGCTATCGACGAAAGTTGTCATTCTCCATCATCCTTTGATAGGGCAAAAATTCAAGTCCTCACAAAGGCTGATGCGAGAATTGATGCGATGGTGGAATTGAAGGTTGGTGACAACTTCTTCAAGGTCATGGTACATGAGATAGAACCTTCATTCAAACCAAACTCTTGGGCTCCTGAAGAAGACGAGTCTCATTAGATCTTGTCTCTTCAATTGTGGTTTTGTTTTAGTTTATATGGCTGTAGGTGTTGCTTTTAATTTGCATTATGTTCTGTTGCGCTATTTTATTCCTACTGCTGGTGGTGTAATTAGAAGTAAGGTGATTAGACTGTGGCTTTGTATGAGGTTATATGAGGTTAAGGTGTTTGTTGTAATGGTGTTCATCACCATGAGAGGATATTCCGTGGTGTCTTTGTATCGGGTATTATTATCAATAAAATTTGAGATACTCTTTTCTTCCTTCCAATGTTCGTTAACATACTTTTAGTATGTGAACAAATAAGAAGGGAGTTTTTAATGAGACCTCCAACTTCTATAAAAAATAAATAAATTTTCAACAATATCCAGCTACCAGATGGCATCTTATATTTTTTTTTCTATTGCAAGCCTGTCTTTATATCCATTGGTCCTTTTTCTGATCAAATTCATAAATCCTATCAAGCAGGCTAAGCATGCAAGATTTCAAACCGATTTTCTATAATTGCAAAAAATGTCAGTAAGATTATAACAAAAGCTCATCAAATAACAGTTATGATAAAGGAATTAGGAATTTCTGCTTACCCCTAAACGGTATGACCCAAAAGTGACAATGACTGCGTTTGCTTCCTCCACCATTTGATCAGTGTAGCCTCTTTGACGAGTTAATTGCTTTACCCAACTTTTTACAATCTATAAGGAAAACAAAATCTACTTTCTCAAAACCACACCACAAAAATATCTTTTTCTTACAACATAGGAACATACTAAAGCCTTCTGACTACATTACTCTTTCATAATTAGTTTTTTTTCTATTTCAGCCACTTCCATATAAAATAATACCAACCAATAGTAAATTAAAGTCAAATTTTAAATCACCATGCAATTACCTTAACCTGCAAGCATACTAGGTGCTTACTTTATTCTTTTATTGAAATAAGAACATAATAAAGCCTTCTTAGTGCGTTATTCTTTCATATTTAGTTTATTCATTCATCAAATTACTCATCAAAGAGTACCAAATAGTAAATAAAGTTAAAATTTAAGATCAACATACAAGTGCATTCACATTTTCTTCATATCTTTAAATGAGAAGACATCAAGCAAAACAATACAATGATTTCCCAATTACCTCAGAGATATGGCCAAGAACCTCCTCTCTTTTCGCAGCTTCCTCTTTGCTCTCGTAAATCCCCGACTCTATCAGAAACTAAAGAAATAAACAAAAAAAAAGTAAATTAAATAGAATTAAATATATATATATAATTCTCAAAACAAAAAACTAATATTACCTTCTCCAATTCCGTATTCCGCTGATTATCAGCCTCAGTCGGGCCCGCGAGGGATATAGGTTTCGTAATCCCATAATTCTGCGGAGGCGGCGATGGTAGCGGCAGAGATCCGTTAGGGCTTTCAGTCTCCATCGGTTTCTGCACTAAACCAAACCCGAAAAAAGGCCCAAGCTTGGATTTAACACCAAATCCGATATAAATCAAGCACACACGATGAAGATCGAACCGATATCGCAACTCATAAGGAAATTAAATTCAGATTATAACATAAATCTGAAGCAAAGCCGAAAATAAAAAACAGATCGGAACCCTAATTTCTTCGAAGGTACGGAATATGCTCAGTGGAATCAACGAAGAAAGGTCAAACACGGAATCTGAAGAACAGTGAAAACAAAAGGGCGAGACGGCGAGGAAAGATCGAGAGAGGCGAAGGAAAAGAGAGGAGCTTTCGCCGTTACGGTGGCCAAAAGAAGCGTTTGGTATGATTTTTTTCTTTTGAAGGATGAATTTTTTTTCTATTTGATGGCTGACTAAAAATAATTAGTTCCAGATTTACGATATTTATTTTGATTATTTTAAGCTGTGGATCGGATCCGAATAAAAGATTGGGTAAATTACGTCCATTGTCATTAATAAGGGTGTACAAAATTCGATTAGATTAAAAAAATTGATTTTTTAGATTCGAATTGACTTCAAGTTTTAATTTCACAAATTAGACTAGACTAAAAAAAATTAAGTTCAAATTGAATTGTAAAATACAACTCGAATAATTCAAACAGTAACTCGAAACACTCGAAAATTTTAGTAATTAGTAGATCAATTTTTAAGTTTGAATCAAATCCCTTGATTATGTATGATATACTAATATCACATATAAAAAAAGTGTAAAAATGTAAAAATATATATGTATTGTATATGGTTATAAAAATCATTTAAATTAGAATCGAATAACTTCATAACAGGTATTATAAATGGCTAATGGATGTCCCTTTTTCCCATATATATATATATGAAGTAAGGGGGAGGTAAGATAATATGCTACCCCCAACACCAGGTTGAGAGCAGCTTCCATAAGAGACCTCCGAATTATGAAATGCCCTCCGTGGGACTCTATCCCACGACCTCAAGGTTAAGAACCTTGTGCTCTACCAAATCGAATTCTTTTGACTCAACTCGACTCAATCGAACGTTCACCCCCATTCACTAATTTATTATTATTTTGTGTTTGTTAAAAAATTTGTTCCTCGATAAAAATAAAAAAGAAGTAATAAATTAATGACTATTGGCGTAGTTATCCAAACAAATATACGGTGGCATGTAGCGATGACAATGGATCAGGGTTGGTTGAGTTTTTCGTTGATCCAACTCATCTTAACCCAAGAAACATACTCCCTCCACCCGAACTTGACCCGAATCGAGTTTAAGGAGGTTTCATATGATTCGAAACTCGACTTGAATTTTGAGTTAAAAATTACATCTGATCTAATTCGACCCAAATATATAAAAACTTATTTTTATTCAAAAAGACAGGGACATAATTGAAAAAAAATATAAAAATAATGACATTGTAGTATTTATCCTTCAATCTATAAAAAAAAATTATATTATTATTCGGATTGTATTAGGTCAAAAGTTTTTCGTTTTAAACTCGAACCCAATATTGCTTTTCACAAAACTTAACTCGAACTAAATATGATTTTTTTTTTAAAATTAAAACATATTTTACATATAAAACTGCTCAATTTTTATTATTAAAAAAACAACATTTTTATCCTCGAAATTACTCCTTAAATTATTATAAAAAAAATTATTGAAGAGGGGTGGGTGTGGTTGTCTGTTAATTGTTAGATTCTATCAAGTAACTCATCTGTCATATCTCGTTACTTTAAGCAGGAGGATTCTTCTCTTAATATTTTATTTAGGGACAATATCATAAATGTTTTATGTATTTTGTTTTTGGTTACAAATTTATATGTATTTTGATTGAAAATTTAATGCGATATTTTTAAATCATAATCATTTTATAAAATTTTAAAAGATCATAACTTGATATTTAAGTGTCTGATTGAGATAAAATTCATATAACATTTTTATATTAATGCGCTAACGAGCCATTGATGTTTTATCATTGTTTTCCGTCCCTAATTTCCCCCCCTTTTTGCCTCTCTCTCAGTCTCGCTTTCTCACTTCGACCGACCACTCATCCGATCCGTACTCCGTAATCACCTTGCCTCGTTCGTCTTCACTCTTCAATTACCTTTCCACCATCAGTCACAAACAGCCAACTCAGAGGTCCGTAATCAATCGTTCCATTTCCAGGCTCAATTTCTTCCGCCTTGCAGTTCGATCGGACCACCTTCCTCGTAGAGCAACGATTGCCTTCTTCAGCGGTTTAATTTCTGAATAAAAATTCTGGGTTTTCTCTTTTTCTTCTAATTTCATAAGATTTTGCATGCTAATTTCTTGATAGGTAAAGGTTTGATTTTGTGTTATAGCACGGTTTTTATCAGATTTTTATCTGAACAAAGGTTGTTAATTTCGCATCCACGAATTTTGATATATCCCTTTTAGCTGTCGTTGTTTTGCATATCCCTTGCATATTTTTGTACTTAATATTTCTTAATCTTGTTGTTGTTGGATCTGCTTTCTTTGACTTAGCTTCTTGCTGTTTTTCTCTTGTTTTTATACTGATCTTTTTTTTACCAGCTTTGGGTTTGATGTTTTTCAATTAGTTGAGTAGGATTTCATTACTCTTATATCTCGTGTTACAATTTTAATCCTTTTTTGCTTAGCTCGGATATTTATTAAACATTTTAAATTATAGTTTCTAGATATTGACCTATAGTTAAATAAGATAGTATTATTTTTTCTTAAAATCCTATTAAGTAACCAACTAGGATTTTTAGTACTCCTCAATTCTCTAGCGTTTTATTAGTGCATCTTCTGTCTTATTTGGATTCTTTTTTCATAGTTCCTCATAGCTTCGGTTACAGATGATTACTTGAGGTCATGTCATTCTTTTAGATCCCATGGGGCGTATAGGGGGAGGGCTCGACAGAGTGGTGACAAGGAGACTAGATTAAGAGTTTGCTCGCTGAATGTAGGCACATTAAATGCTAGGCTGCTGGAGCTGACCGACGTACTTAATAATAGAAAAATAGATTTTGCATGTATTCAGGAGACTAGGTGGAAAGGGTCTCGCGCAAGAGAGTGTAATGGGTACAAGTTGTGGTATTCAGGCGTAGATAACGCTAGAAATGGGTGGTATCTTGGCATCCTCTAGGCACAAGGAAAATGTAGTTGAAGTTTGCAGATACCGGGATAGGATCATGATGATTAAGGTTATTATAGAAGAGGAAGTAGTGAATGTCCTTTCAGTGTACGCCCCACACGTTGGCCTAGGGGAGGGGGAGAAACGTTGCTTCTGGGATCAGTTAGATGATATACTTAGGAGCATTCCGGAGGACCAAAGAGTTTCATAGGGGGAGACTTCAATGGCCATATAGGAAGTGCAACCGACGGGTATGACGTGTTCATGGGGGTTTCGGTTATGGTAGCAGGAACGATGGGGGCGTACGTTGCTTGATTTTGCTACTGCTCACGATTTGGTGATCACTAACTCCTTCTTTAATAAGAGATGCGAACTTGATTACGTTTCATAGCGGGGGACATTGTACCCAAATCGACTACATCTTGATTAGAAATCAGGAACGATGGGCTTGCATTGACTGTAAGGTGTTCCCTGAAGAGGCATGTGCATCACAACACAAATTGTTGGTTTTGGTGTATCGCGTACCCCACGGGCGGAGCACTCATAGGAGGGCTAAACTTGGTAAACCTAGGATCCTCTGGAAGAACTTACATGGAGCGACAACTGATGACTTTAGGAGTAAGGTTTTGTCTAATACAAGTTTTGAAACTACAAACTCAAAAATGCAGATATGTTATGGAAAAATATGGCAAATTCCATCAGAGATGTTGGCAAAATACCCTTGGGTTGTCGACGGGGAAGGCCAAGGAACATAAAGAATCGTGGTGGTGGAACGATGAAGTCCAAACTAAGGTGAAGACAAACAACTTGCTTCAAGGAGTTTCTACAATGCAATGACGACGAAGAAAGGTCGAGAGCTAAACAAAGATACCAGGAGGCAAAGCGGGAAGCCAAGAAAACGGTAGCTAAAGCAAAGGATAAGGCATACGAGGAAATGTACAAGAGATTAGACACCAAGGAAGGACAAAATGGCATCTTCAGACTTGCAAAATCTAGGGAGATTAGGAAAAATCTAGGTAACATTAGGTTTATTAAGGACAACAATGGTGTTCTTTTAGCGAAAGATCACGATATTAAGAGGTTTGGGGTAGTTACTTCTTTGGCTTATTTAATGACGGTGCCTCTCCATGTAGAGATAGTCGTTGATGGTTAGCCGACTATCATACTACGGCCAATGACTGCCCTACAAGTAGGATTGGGTTTGAGGAAGTCAAAATGGCTCTTAGAAAGATGGGAAGGGACAAAGCTGTCGGTCCTGATCAAATTCCTATCACTGTGTGGTTGGCCCTAGGAGAAGAGGGAGTTAAGTGGTTGACCAACATCTTTAATATTATTCTAGAGACTGCCAAGATGCCAGAGGAGTGGAGAGAGTCTACGGTGATACCAATCTATAAAAATAAAGGAGATCCCCATCGTTGTGGTAACTACAGAGGTATTAACTCCTCAGCCATACCATGAAGCTATGGGAAAGGGTGATAGAGGCTAGGTTGAGACAAGTTACTAGGGTTTCGGAAAACCAATTTGGCTTTATGCCAGGCAGTCTACCACGGAGGCGATTCATCTACTTCGACGGCTTATGGAGAAATATAGGGAAAAGTCTAGAGATCTTCACATGGCGTTCATTGACCTTGAGAAGGCTTATGATAGTGTTCCCCGCGATACGATCTGGAAGACTTTTGAAACGAGACGGATCCCAACTGCTTATATCCGGGCGATTCGTGATATGTACTGTAGATCTACTACTTACGTCAGGACTACAGTTGGCGACACCGAGGCATTCCCGGTGGAAATCGGACTCCACCAGGGGTCGGCTCTTAGCCCTTACATCTTCGCCTTGATCATGGACGACATCTATTGTGCGACACCAGACGGTGTACCATGGTGTATGCTTTCGCTGACGACATTGTCTTAGTTGCTGAAACAAAATCTGCGTGAATAGTAGACTGGCTACCTGGAAGACTGCTTTGGAAGAAAAAGGTTTAAGGATCAATATTGAAAAGACAGAGTATTTATGTTCAAACTTCAATGGGAACCAAAACGATGAAGATGTAGAAGTATGCATAGAAGGACATGTTCTCCCCTCAAAGGATTGTTTCAAGTACCTAGGGTCTATGATACATAAAGAGGGGGTGTAGATGATGACGTTACACACCGTATAAAGGCGGGATGGCTAAAGTGGAGCTACTGGAGTTCTGTGTGACAAGAAGGTCCCTCTAAAACTTAAGGGAAAATTTTATAGAATGGCAATAAGACCAGCGCTGTTGTATGGATCAGAATGTTGGGCAACCAAGAAGGATCACGTAAGGAGGATTGAGGCCGCAGAAATGAGAATGCTTCGATGGACATGTGGTAAGACTGAGGGATATGACGACAACTCTGCTATTATGATGTCCTTGGGGGTGGTGTTGTTTCTGAAAAATTGAGGGAGGGAAGACTACGGTGGTTTGGGCATGTCCTTAGGCGACTACCGTCGGATGCGGTAAGGAGGGTAGAGTCGATTACAGTCGACGGTGCCAGAAGAAAGGACGACCAAGGCGAAAGTGGGAAGACTGCTTGAGATCTGATTTGAGGGATTTAGCCCTTACCGAAGACATGACCTCTGATAGGAAAATATGGAGGCTAAAGACTAGTCGAGTAGTGTGGGTCACATCTATAGGGTGTATCATCTCTCTCTTTTAATGTCTTTGTAGTATTTCCATGACTTATACTTTTATACGTTTCTGTTATTGGTATTTATGAAGGATTAGAACTGGGCTTGCTAACGTTGCCTTCTGTGTGTCATTCTCTTCATGTTTCCTCTTTTAAATTTAGCCGGATCTTATCTTATGTTTATGTCTATATGCAGAGATTCTTTCGCAGGGATTATTATGCAGGGATTAATTCCCGTTACAGACGCACATATGATTTTAATGACTGCATAGAATACTGTTTAGCTATGTATTTATATTATTTATACATGCATTGCATTTTATCTAAATTTTTAATTTTCTGACTGCGGAGGTCTTCCACGGAAGTTACTCTCAACCTGGCGTTGGGGGTAGCCTACTACCCTACCTCCCCCTTACCCCATACATATGGGAATTGGGTTTTGTTGTTGTTGTTGTTGTGATGTTTTATCATTGTTTTCATCTCAAAAAATATCATTTTGACCTTTGGATTTTATTTTTTAGTTTTTTACTTCATTTTTTAATTGTTGGACTTAAAATTTCAAATTTTTATACATAAATATTCCATATCGTTATTTATAAGAGTTTAATATGTGTAATTTTAGGGTAAAAATGTGAAAATTTTATTATTAATCCTCATACTTTTAATTTAATTCCTGTGGTAGAAAACAAAATTACAACTAAATTAAACTTGTCAGCAAGGGTCATTCGAATTCCCACAATATCAACAGTAAGTTAAAAAGGGGCAGACATTAATTGTTATTATTTAAAGTAAAACCTATAATAATTAGTGGAATATTATTCCATTTATTAAACTAAGATGATTACAAAATAGTATCGGTTCTAAATATTCTTAGCCATTTGACAATGATCGTTCAATCATCCTGCTACAACTACTAGTGCTTAAACTCGTGACCTCTAGAAATAATAATGATTCCTTCGACAATTGAGATAAATTGGTTCGTGCATAATTGGTGAAATATTAAAAATTTCATTTTAGGCATTTGTAATTTTACTATTCCACTAATTATTATTATAGGTAAACGTCTAAATCATGGCACCAGCTATGCGGATGATTAAAAGAAAGGAAGTCAAAATTATAGCTTTTTTGTGTAATAGCATAAATGATAGAATAAATGTTGGAAGTTCTAACACATTTATTTATTTTAAATATCTCGTTGGAAGAAAATTGTAGATATTGTACTATGTGTATTATATATATATATATATATATATATATATATATTCCTATGACTGTCAATGTGCCTTTGGCATGACCGATGATGAGAATTAAAAGGCTTATTAAAAGATACGGAGTTTTGGCTAATAATAATAGAAAGTCCAACGAGAATAGATGGTCGAGTTATCGTTGCTTTGTGTCAATGTGATCGACGGTAACGGAGTTAATTTTTGGCCTTTTATCGTCGTCGTCGGCCGCTGCGACAAGTTCATTCGAAGACTAAATGAGGGGAGAGAAGAAAAACGGTATACAAATGAGCCAACACCGGATTAGCTGATTAATATATAGAAATCATGCCTTTCACAAGTTAAGACTGATAAATCTTGAGTATAGATTTCAAACATACCTCCACTTATGATAAGAGCTTGAGCAGTATGGTTGAGGTTTGCCTTCGCCCAAGGAACCTTCCGAACTGCAATCAACTGAAAACAAAACGGATGGTCGACAGTGGCAGTGATTCCGCATACTGATTAGAGGTTGATTATTAAATTATTCATACATGGGAAAGAACTGAGAACCAAAAGGCTTCATTAATGTAGATCATGAAACGGTAAGAACCGTTGTGATACATTATTCTCAACCACTTGTGCAGACAATCAGTTAATTGACTTTTAGTTCCATTACCACTTGTAACACCATATAACCTATGTTACCTAGATTTGCGTTTGAAGGATCATATTATGTTGGTGGATCTTTCCGGTTGCGTGGTCAAAACACTCAACAATTAGGTATGTATTTTCAGAATGTCACGGTCGTAGAATGCCTGAGATTTTGTCTCTCCTACCCTGTAACAGGTACAGGGGAGCACCTCGAAGGGGGAGAGCATGATCCGAAGATCATGTAGGGCATAGAGCACTTATTGTAACTTAGCTCTTGAATCTTGGCACTAAGACACCGCATGATAACCTAATTAAAGATGTAGGGAAGGCGGAGACTGAATTGAAGAGCCGGCGAAGCCTGGAGGTCCAATTGGTGTTGAATGGAACAATTGATGAAATGAGAAAGTAAAGTGGCCACGGGAGGAATAGAACCCGTGCCCTTTCAAAGGCAATGGCATATAAGCCATGGTACCAATAAAGGGATTGGTGTGAGTTCGATCCCCTTCAACGCCATATCGCTCTCCCATTTCGGCACTCTCCACCAAATGGTACTCCAAGCTTTTGTCAACTCTGCAATTCAGTCCCCATCACCAAGTCCTTTATCGGGTCATTGTGCAGTGTCTCGGCATCCAGAGATAAGTCACAATAAGTACACACTCTATGCCCTAGACAGTCTTCGGACTGTGCCCTTCCCGAGACCCATTACAGGGTAGGGAGACAAAATCCTGGACATTCTAAGACAATGTCGTCCCAAGAATATAATACCTAATTGTAGGGGGTTTGCAGGAATACTTAAAAAAAAAATGAGTCCACTTAACATAATAAATAACCGATACAAAGCCCGAAATTCAAGCTTTTAAATGATCACTCAATTGCTAATTCGGCAAAATGAAAATGATGAACCTGCATTAACACTATGGTCCTGGAAATTTCAGGATTCGTAACAGTTATCTCAGCACGCAGCACACAATTTCATTCAATGGAGGGGAATTGCAGGAAAATCGAAAGCATCAACCAGAGAGAAACATTAAAGTAGTTGCATATTTGAGAGGAAAACACGATACTTCTAAAGAATAAAACTTAGAAAGGAACATGACAAGGTATAAAAGAAAAAGCCATAGGAGAGCAAGGTTTACGTACTGTAGGCACAGCGCTAACAACGGCGGCAATGGCAGCAGCCTTGATACCGGCACGAATTCCCTCTGCAGTTCAAATAAGACATTAACAATTATATTGTTCCAACTTCTTATTTTGCAAAAATATTATCATATAATAAAGCCCCGGTCTTCTCTTCAAATGAAAAATCATTAAGCCTTTAGAAATCAAAGTCCAAATCATATATTGCATTAAATTTAACCATATGTTATCAACTACAGAGTTGTCAACAGGAACCAAAAGCAGGGCACCAGATCTCAAACTTTGAAGAATAGATGGATACAGTCATAATTAAACCTTCTCAAATTGAACAAAAAAATCGAATTGCAACCTAATTATATTGGAAGTCAGCTTTGATCACTGAGACAAACTGGGATTAAACTTAACGAGAAATTTCAAATTCTATTTATCTTAATTTTGCCCTTTTTTTGGTTAATTGCGTACGATTTTTTTAGGTGGAGAAGAAAGATAAAGAAGAAAACCTTGAGAGTAGTGGTCGGCCCTCAATTTCTTCTCGTCTTCAGCGGGAGAAGGAATTAGGAAGGAATCTGTTCTTCTCTGTACCCAAACATCCCTCATTTCCGACGTAATTCCCATGTTTCTAGCTCTGCAGTTTACACCAACAAAAGTGTGTTTTCAAAAATCTAGTATCCAAGCTTTGATTGAACAAAGATGATGATCCGAGAGACTTTTAATTAAGGTGAAGGGGGAGAGAACCGTGTTTTGATTGCCATCTATCCACCCCTTTTGACCTTTTAAATATATATATTCATACACCTCTTAGCAGCCGGACCTTAGGCGTTATTTTATATATATATATAACCCATTAATTAATTTTTTCTTTTGAAGATTTCCTCGTACCAGATTTATTAAAAAAAATATTTGTAAAATACACGTAGGATTAACTCGTTTCTTATTAAATACGAATTAATACTTTGCGTCCTAGCACGAGGTACATCCTACATGAAAAACTTTTTAGAGAGTTTAATTTAATATTAATATTAAATATTCGTGTTACTCAAAACGTAGAGTTCTCGAGATATCAACAAATTATCGTGATCGCAGAAGATTTAAAATTTAAAAAGATTCTTAATCTTCGTGCTTTATAAAACGCGATGTACTATTAACCTCATTTCGGGGTGATGCAATGACGGTTATAAATAGGACACAAAACCAAAATTCTCACACAATCCTTCAAAAAAATCTCTCACACATATTCTCTCTCTGATATTATTATGGCATGATTACTAAGGGTTGATCGTAGGCATGTATGCGATTATTAGAAAACAAATTCGGAGGTAATTTTTATTTACTTATTTATTTTGAATAAATTATTTATTTATTTAATTTGAATAATTTATTTATTTATTTGAGGTATGAACGTTCATTGACGTGTTATATCAACCGTTTCCCTAGCCCTCGTGCCGATATTATTCCATATTTGCACGAAGTCGGTTTCGGTTATGTTAGCAATATAATTGGTGGTACGAAGTTGGACCCTCAATTGATAAACACATTGCTAGAACAGTTGAGACTGGAGACACACACGTTTTATTTTCTTATTGGGAGGTGTTGAACTATATTTTGATATAACAATTTAAGGCAAAATGTTTTTGGACTTGAATTGAATTTATTCAAAGTTTTCAAAAATAATTCAAAGTCCTTAAAAGTTTGGAATTGAGCACAAAATAATTTTTTGTACAAGTAGTACCGATACGGTTCTTACAGTATCGATACCAATTGAACAAGTATTGATACTGTTTATATGGTACCGATACCAAAGATAAGGGAAGTATCGATACTCACTAGGTAGTAACGATATTACCAGCTTTGCTCAGATTCTAGAATGCAAAAATGGTACTGATACCCAAAGTGGTATCGATAATACTTTGTATAGTAGTATCGATACCAAAGGCATAGTATCGATACCATAAGGCCCCAACGACTAGTAACGGCTAGTTGATTTAAATATAACAAAGGTAGTACTGATACTCCCTTTAGGCAACTTTATTTTGCACGAAAATTGATCCCCAATGGCTCCAAGCAACCTCCAATGGCTAGAAACGGCCACAACAACATTTCAACACATTAATACAAGTTCAAGACACTTGAAGAAGGGTTAGAACAACTATCCAAACAATCAAACACAAGAGAAGAGTTTTTCATTCTTATTTTCAATTCTCTTGTAAATATTTGTGTTCTCGTGAGCTTTTAATTTGTAAACACCTTCTTTCTAGAGGTTTATTTGTTTACACTCTTTTTCCTTTGTAAAGGGTTTTGATTCTATCTTAGCCATTGAAAACATAGGGAGTTATAAAGGTTATCTCTTTGTCCTTGAAAAAGAAAGAACAAATTAGTGAATTTGTTAGAAAATCCTAAGTGAGGAGCTAAGGTAGTGGATGTAGACTTGTTTGATATATCGAACCACTTTAAATCATTGTGCCAAATTGTCTTATCTTTTTGTTCTCCTTACTCTCTAAATTCAATTAAATCAATTAAACCCCTTTGCACTTTTTCGGTTGTCAGTTTAAGCCTCTTCAATAATCCTAATAGGAGGTGACTATTATCCTTGAAGATGTCACATTCCATCTTGGGTTGCCTATTGACGGAAATCCTATTACCGGTATTTCCCATGGACATTGGAGCGGCTTGTGTACAGAACTACTCGTACATACTCCAACAAGTGACGATATGGATAAAGGGAAGATCTACATTAATGTAACACCCCCAACCCGTACCCGACCCGGATACGAATCCGAGGTGTCACATTAACTTTCCAAAACGTTTTTCTTTACAAATTAGCAAAAATTCAAATTCACATTTCAAGAAAAATGAATAATTTACATTAAAAGCAATTGGTTTTACAGAACATATCAGAGCATATTCAATTTAAATCTCTTAGTACATGACAACTACATTTAATATACCAAAATACATATGATTTAAAACTCCTTTCTGATCTAATCTTCGAAAAGGAGAGGCTGACCTGTCTTGCTCCTCTCTGCTCCTTAATCTTCTCGGAACCTATGTGTGAAACACTCACATGCTATGTCATTGGCTTAGTGAGGCATATAAAACATATAATGTAAATTCTAACTTATAAAAATGCATGAATAATTAATACTATCATATCATACAAAAGTATACATTCTTTCATGTAACAAATACCCATATGCACATATATCATCATCTACATTCTTAGCTTTATCAATCTTATTATAATTATCAATATTATTCTCATTAATTCCTCTTATCATCTAGTCTTGTACTTAACATTCATGCACATCATATAACACATAAATCATTTCACAAAGAAACATTTATAACATCATATCAAGTTTATTTATTTTATCTCTTTATTTGCCCATGTATACTTCTGAGAACTAAAGATATATGAGTACATAGAGGTTGTGCACATATGTTGTCACCACAGCTTGTATAAATTCCCACTAAGGGCATATAGAATTTGTCCCGAAGGACCGCGTAGAAATGTCCCGAATGACCACATATAACATAAATATCCTGAAGGACCACTCCTTAAGGACCACATACATATTCCAATGGACCAAATAGGTATACCGAAGTACCGCATATATGTTCCAAAGGATTACATCCCAAAGGACCACGTAGAACCCTCGAATCTTGGCATGCCAACTATACCCCTAGCTCTCACATCACATAACATGGGCATTATCATTTATGTTTGTCACACATTCACATATTCATATCACATAGGCATATAATCTCATAGATTCTTTCATATAGCTCATTGTCACATTTTCATATGATCACATAAGTCATATCTCATAGAGCTCATAACATTTATCGTGTAATCACTTATATCGTATCATATAACTTACAATTTGTTCTCCTATGTTCATATATATATCATATAATTCTTTAGGTAATAGCTTATATCACATGTTCATATCATTCCTTATGTCTATATTATATAACTTATATCATATTCTTATATAATCACATAGATCACTTATAATAGCTCACATGGCTTATCACACTAACATGTATTCACACAAATCATGTAACATATGCAATAACATATAACATATACACTCATATCAAAAACATGCTTACATTCATGAATTAATGTATTCTAATATAGGAAATAGACTCATCGCAAGTCTTATTTCCATTAAACATCATATACCAACTAATATGCACTCACCTGGGCCTCACTAACAATGCAACCACTTACGATTCTTGCACAACCTTATAGCTTCAACTCATCTTGGACTTATCTTCGATCGATATCTACACGAATATATAATCCAATAAATATCGGGATTCGAATTACTCGAAAAGATTCTTACGAATATAAACTAAACAAAGCACTACTTTCTTAATCCCAACTTAAGTAGTATCGGTACTACTGTTACAGTACTGATACCCCTCATGCTTGTAGTATCGATACCCTTCCACGGTATCAATACCCATTTTCGATTCTGTAATTTCATCTCAAGAATGGTACCGATACCTCCACATTGATATCTATACCCTTGGTACCGATACTATCACTTCAATATCGATACCCCATGAATATTTTACAGACGTTTGCCTTATGATATCGATACTGTTCATGCAACATCGATACCCAAACATAGATATCTGTAACACCCCAACCCGAATCCGAGTCCGAGGTATCACATCAATTTTCCAAAACTTTTACTTATGCAATATAATGAAAATTTCCCCTTAAAAGAAAACTTCATATTATTTCAAAATAAAAGTTTACAAACTTATCAGAGCATATACAATTCAAATCGTTTATCTTACATGCCAACAAACTTATCAGAGCATATACAATTCAAATCGTTTATCTTACATGCCAACTACATTTCAATAAAACAAAATACATATAATTCAAAATGCTTTTTTGATCTGATCTTTGGGAAGGAGAATATGACCTGTCTTGCTCCTCTTTGCTCCTTATTCTATCGAAATCTACGTGTGAAACATTCACAAGCTAAGTCTATGACTTAGTGAGGCATATAAAACATATAATATAAATTATAACTTCTAACAATAAATGCATGTTTCATGCTATCACATCATACAACCTCATATCCACTTCTATAAAATAAATACATATATACACATATATCATCATATCATTTATGAGTGTTTACTATTTCATATTCTTATAATCATTTATTTTACACCATTTACTTATACCACATTCTACTGTCATCATTTAAGTCGTTTTATTTACATATTTCCTACTCATATAATTCTTATCACAAATTCACATATCTTATCTCTTATTTCCATATGTTCTATTTAAAATTTAACCCATAAATTCTTGTTACATATTCTATATCATATTCTTGTATACTAATTTTTTATATTCTATTAATTCATTTGTCACATAATTTTGTTACGAAACATATATTTGCAAAACTTATTGTTATTTGATTCCCTTGATGTTTTCATATGCTTTCTTAGATCCTTATACTAAATTCCATATCACTTAAGAATTTAACAAGTTTAGATCACAATTCTATTTAAACGTATAAACCCTTCTATACAACTTATCTAATATACTCTTATACTTATTTATATACCTATTTCCTAGTTCATATATTATCTATTTTATCTCAATTCTCATTAATCATATAGTCCACCACCTCATTACATATATATATATACTTATAGAGTTCACTATATTTCTTATGTAATTACTTATAACATATCATATAAGTTTATTATATTCTCTTATATTCAAATAT